TCAATGACTGCAGTAGGATATGTAGCCCCAGCTAGGTGCTACTTTATAGGATGCGTAAAGTTAGACTTGTGCTCATGGAAATGTGTGCCACCTGTGTTTGCTATGAGGGTATTTGGATTGATTAGGGTCTTTGGTGATTCAATGAAATGTGGGGGGAAAACGGTATAGAAAACAAACATAGATACCAGAGACAGTGTGGGAAGAGAGCGGGAGTGGCAGAGGGTAAGAGATAGGGAACCAAGGATGGGGGGAAAAAGCAAAACATACAGAAAACAAGAAATGGAAGATCATTTGGTGACAATAACATGTTTGTTGATGTGCTCGATTGAGAAAATATACAGTATACTCTGGATGGAAAATCTCATTTTGTATGTTGTAATGATGTACAGTGAATGAATGCAAATAAATAAATTGAAAAAAAAAGAATAGAGAATATTAGTATCACCTGGAGGCTTATTAAAGTTATTTCGTTTTGTTTTTAATTTTTTAAACTTTAGTCCTCTTGAGAATCACTTCTTAAAAGAGCCACTTTTACTGGAAGGAGTCTGTTATATTTTTCAATGTGTTGGAGCTGAAAAAAGATTGGGGACTGTATTAATGTACTTGTATTAATGACTTCTTCAAGTCTTCTTTTTTTTTTGATGCTTCAGTCTTCAATAAAACATAAATGAGGGCTCACTCTGGGTTCTTGTTATTTATATAACATAGCTAGAAAAGTATAATTTAATAATTTCATATTGAAAGTTTAGTCTGTTCTTGACTGTCAGGCATCTTGCAAGAAGTTAGATATAAAAATAACTTACCCTTCCTTTTGAGGAATTTATAATAATTTGTACAAGCAATACATTTTTTAGAGCTTTGTAAACAAATTACTATTAGAATACAAAAGATAATTGAATTGATCCAGGAGAAAAAGTTGGCCAGAGAAAATTACTTTGGAGTCATTTCTAGAAAGTACAGGGGAATTTTTTAAATAATAATTAAAGAGCAGAAGAGAATAGTTCAGGCAGAGTAGTAATTGCTTGAGCAAAGGATTAGAGACGTGAAATTTTGGGGAATACTTGGGAATTGTGAGTAGTGCAGTTTTGTAGTAAGATAATACACATCCAGATCAGAACGGACTGAAAAGTTTGGTTTGGGGGCTACACGTAATGTAGTGAGAACCCTAGATGATCAACTATCTGTACATCGGATCTAAAAACCTCATTTCCTAAGACTTTGTATTGATGAATACAGAAACTGCTATCTTTTCCTTATATCTAGCCACATCATTAATCATATTTATTACACAAGAGAAGATGATTTGTCTCTTTTGCTCATTACATAGAATAGTGCCTAGTATATAACAGACATGCATGAAACAAATGTTCAGTGAATGAATACATTTAGATTTCTGAATGGTTGTGCTTCAAAGAGATCTTTTCTGAGTTTTGATACTTAGTGCCACAGTATTCTTCTGGTTGTTATGCTCCATAAATATTTATGTTTACAGATTATTTTAGCATGATTTTGAAATTTTAGCTTTGCCCTTATGTATTTCTATGGTTCTGAATAAATTATTCTTGATTTTATGTACTATATGTATTTTGAAAAAAATAACTTATAAATTGAATGATATATTACCTAATCTTGTTCATATTATTCTTTAATGTTTCTCGAGAGATTATAATATGCATCTTTAATTTATCCTAGTCTCCCTTGAATTGATATAATATCACTTTGCATAGAATGAAAGAAATTTACAATAATTATTTCCCCTTCGCTTCTATGTGCCATGGTTGTCATATATTTTACTTCTACATATTATAAATATAATGATACCCATTAATTATTTTGTTTGCTTTAAGCAGACAATTAACTTTTAAAGAAATTTTAAAAAGAAAAAAATGACTTTTATAATTTCCTATATATTTACCGTTTTGCAGAGTTCCTAATCTCTTTCTGTTCAAATTTTACCTAAACTGTAAGTAGTGTCTTCCATTTTTGAATCCCGATAGTGTACATTCTGGACCATGGATACACCATTTATGACTTTATAATCAATGGTTCATGTATGATATATGTTAAACTTGCTCTGCCAGTTTTGATTATTTTCTGGCAAGGATCAGCATTTATACATTTTTGAACACTTCATTAAATCTAAGATAGTGCCTTGGGAACCTGCAGTTAGTGTAATGGCTATGTCGCCGGACTCCCACGTAGTAGACTACAGTTCGCGCCCTGGACCCGGTGGCTTAGAACTCACGCCGGATGCGTGTGCGTGCGTGCCCAAGATCCCAAGAGGAGAATGGAGGAGAAGGGATTGCGGCGTGACCATCCCCCCTGGGGGGTCATTTTTCGCTTTCTGTCTCTATGTCTCTCTCTCTCTGTCTGGTGAGCGCACGCGCCCTATAGCGAAAACCTCTCCAAAAAAAACTAAGATAGTGCCTTATTCAAAGTAGACAACTATATGTGTGTGTGTTTACATTTTATTTTATTTTTAATATGTAAGAATGAAATTTTGGATGCCAGTAGATGGCCTAGTGGTTATGTTGCTGGACTTTCACTTGACCTACCGTGGGAAGAGTCCTAGACCCTATGGCTTGAAAATCACTCTGGGCTTCTGTGCATGTATGCCCAAAATCCCAGGAGGAGAATGGAGAAGGGATTAGGGCATGACCATCCCCCCTGGGGGTGATTTCTCACTTTCCCCTCAATATCTCTGTCTCTCTCTGGTGTGTGTTCACACCGTAAGGCAAAAACCTCTAAAATAAAAAGAGAAAAAAGGAACAAAATTTTGTTCTTGTATTTGAATATTTATTTATACTAACAGGGTTAAATTGTATTATTATTGTTCACCATTAGATGTCACTTTCTAACATATTTCATAGTCTTACCAATAAATTCCCTACTATAAAACTTACCTGCATATGTAAACTGGGAAGGTTTTATACATTTTAAAGTAGGTACTCTCAAAAAGACAAAGCATTCATTAATTGTAATTGTAGTTTTTATTATCTTTTATGTTTATACAGAACTCATTTTCCTTAAATTTTCTTTAAAACTTGGAATACTGTCATTATTTTCAAATTATTCTCTGTGTAATGTGAAGTTTGGAACTATTAGAAATAATCGTGGAGGGCTAGCAGGTGGTGTGATTAAGGCATTGGACTCCCACCCAGTGGCTTGCTTTCTCACTCTCCCCCCTCCCTCTGGTAAGCATAGGTGCCCTGTAGCAAACTTAAAAGTAAAAATAGTAACAGTAAATAAAAAAAAAAATTAAAAAAAAAAAAAAAACAAGAAGAAGTAACAGTGGGAAGAAGTATGATATATAGGAATATATTAAAAGATGTTAGACTGTATTCTGTTTGTGAAAGTATTCTGAAACACTTTTAGAAGGCCAACTAATAAGACTCACTGGAAATGAGTCTTCTTGAGATAAGCTTTGACAGCAACAAAAGGTTTTATTTGGGTTTGTCAGAGAAAGAAAAGGAACTGAGTGAACTGTGAAAGGGATATGGACAGAGGTGGAGAAAGAGAAGATTCTAGATGTTTCTTGGTCAACAGAGTAATGGTGTCAAGAATGGATTTTCTTCATACATTCTCTTACTTTAAAAGATAGGAAAGATCAGATTAAGGAAATTCCAGTAATCCTAGGTTTAATGGTCACCTTATACTTAAGGACCTAGATTTTAAACTCAACTCATAATGTGTATGATTTAGAAATTAGGATTTATTGATTCCAATAGCTAGGAATCATGACGAAAGATGGAATTCCTTGGGAAAGGTTGAATATACTTGTAACATTCCTTGCAGATCCTTCAGTGCTAAGAGAAGTCTCTTGTAATACCATTGTTCAACCACCATCCGGGCCGAGTACCCCTATTTTTCACCCCCATCTTACAGGAGTCAGCTAGAGGGGCGATGGCTATTTTCTTCAGTTTACCTGGGATGTTGAAATATTAATAAAACAGTAATGTTGTTTCCTAATAATGTAATAAATATTCCTGAAACTAATTGCCAATCTAAGAATTTGATCATTACTAATAATTTGTAATCCTATCCTCCAGCCTTTCACATCTTACCCCAGAAATAACTATCTTACGTTTTGTTTATAGTTTTATTGAAAAAAATGTTCATTTATCAATATATGTATGTATTATTTTTAGTCATGCCTACAGTAAACCAAAGTACCAAACAATGGTATTTAAATTTCATTTTGTGGGGCCGTCGGGTGGTGTGGTGGTTAGGGGCACTGGACTCCCAGATAGGCGACCGCAGTTCAGGTCCCAGATCTGATGGCTTGCTTTCTCTCTCTCTCTCGCTCTCACTCTCTCTAACTCTGTTCCTCCCTGGTCAAATTTAAATAAATAAATATATAAACAAATAATTATTTAAAAATTCCATTTTGTAGTAGTCAAATTACATATAATATTTAAAACTAAGCTTTATTCTTGTAATATTTTTATGCTTTGGGCTAAAACTTCAATTTTTTTTGAGATATTGGTGTAAGATGACCATTTGTCCTCTTGGGCAAAGCTTTTAACTTTTTGGGTTTTAGAGAGTTACTCTTTATGAAATAATGAAGTGAATAATAATTTTTATGAAGTAATCAGTAATGGAAATGGTTAAAAAAAATCAAAAGTTGGAAATACTATATCCTACATTAGTATAATCAGTTACCAAAAGATGCTGATAATGTTATTCACTTAGATGGGTAAAAATTCATTTTGTAATCCACTTTTTTCTTTCTGTTTTTATATATTACTACAGCTAAAGAAGTAAACAGGTCATGGCACGTTTAACAAAAAGACGACAGGCGGATACAAAAGCTATCCAGCATCTTTGGGCAGCCATTGAGATTATACGGAACCAGAAGCAAATTGCCAACATTGACCGTATTACAAAGTAAGTAAATTTAAGCAAAAATATTCCTGTAAAATTTATATAGAATTTGGGGAAAAGTCCAAATATACCATAATTATTATACTAATCAACATATATTACGAAGGACTGAAAATAACTTTCCTTCGCTGGGCTACGGTCGTTAGAAAAGCAAATATAGAAACATGCAAAACCAATCTATATTTAGAAGTTTTATAAATAGGTATTAGATAAGCAAAATATTAATATGTACTCTCCATAGTAGTTTTTTAGTTATCAAACATCTTTAACTCTTGGAAACTTGAAGTCTTTTATCAAAAAGGCCATTAGCTAATCATTTCTTTTATTTAATGAACTTTCTAAAAACAGGGTGCTGTTCATTACTCAATGTTGGAGTATGGTGTGTGCTAGAAATCACATCTTATTAGTTTATAGCATACTGACAGAATTTTTAACAATTTTATTCTATGATTTTGAAGTTACATTAAATAAGCATTCAGTATTTTAAAAAAGGAAAATTCTTTATTCCTTCGAGTTTCTAATGCTATTTATCTTGATAGACAAAGATTTAGGATAGAAAAAAAATCAGACTGTTTTATGAACTTTCTGCTTATATTTTGTATGCTAATTATAAGGGAGTCTTCAAATAGGAACTTGATTTTGTTTTGTATGCTTGTTTTCTAGGTATTTTAGAGGAATAAATGTTTTTAAAGTGTTTGGTGCTTTTTTTCTTTTTAATTATTTCTGAGGATTTTTTTTTTTGGTCAGATAAAATTTCTTGATACCCCTTCTGATATTCTTTAGATGCTATTGTTAAAATGGAAAACAGATCATTTACAAAAGCCTATTTGAATACATTTTTTTAAACCTTCATTAAGTAATAAAATTGAGTTCCATATATTTTTATCCCTTCCCTATATTCTGGCGAAGGGGATTATAAAGATTGCTTAAGAGGGAAGGAACAGGAGCTAGAGAAGAGTGAAGCTGTATGCTGGTTTTATGCTTGCCCATGAGGTATTTTAAAACTAGCCATGAATAAGTCCTAGTTCCTGTGGGCTAGTAGAAGAAACAGAAGAAATACACAATAGCTAGCACTGTGTGGAAAATAATAATAAATAGTATATTAATTTAATTATTATGTTTTTAAATAAAAGAAATCATGTGAGATATTTTAACTGGATGCAAATTTCAGGAAGGTGACACTGATATGAAAACATTTTTAAACATTTAAAGAATAAAAAGCAATGTTTTCCTTTGGTTGAGACTTTTAAAAACTATGGTTTATGTGTACAAAATTTCTTACAGAAGAATGTTAAAATACGATACTGTTCTTTGGATTTAATTTTTTAAATTAAAATCATAAACACTTGACTTCTTTCTAATCTGTGGCATTTTTCTCTGGAAGCTTTAGGGACATTCTCTAAGAAGCTGTCAGAATCTCCCAGTGTGAGTGTGGCTATTAGGTTGTGACCAGCCGCTGAAGTGGGAGAGGGAGAATTAGCTCCCACAGTGGTGGGTGCAGGTATTGGTGGATTACATAACACCTGCGTGTGTATTTATGTATACAAATGTTAAACTGCAGCAAAAGATACAGAGGTTGTTAACAGGATTGTATGTATCTTCTCATTTTGCCCTGTGCATTGATAAGCATTCTTTTTTCTCCTTTTTTCAGTATAGCCTTAAATGAAACTGAGACTTTTTTTCCTTTATGTCATGAGGTCCATAGTTCTTAAATTAAATATGAATACATTTATTTACCTACCAAAGAGTTTGAGGTTTATTTATCTTACTTAAAGAGGCACAAAAAAAAGGGGGGAAAAAAAAAGAAAATCAGAGAGTAAATGTTGAAGAGTGGTTTCTGTGTTTCTTCTGCCTCATCTCCCTTGAGAGGTATGCCGTATTCATTTTATTATGTGGTTCACTTCAGAGTATCCTGGACTCCTTCCTTTATCACGTTTGTAATTACTGCCCTGCTAGACAGTCAGCTCCCAAACGGAACTGTCAAGAGAACCACCCGACCCAGTGCCTTTGCTTCTTGGTTAATGTTAATTTCCTTACTTGTTACCTTGCCTAAGATAAGTTAGAAAGCAGCATTTAAGCCTACTATCCATGTTCTACAGTTTTGGATAGCTAAATACTTTCCAAACCTTAGATTTATTTTAAGTCTAGTTGCTTTGCTTAGTTACAGACAAGTTTGAATACAGAGTAATTAAAAAAAAAAAAAAACTATATAGATGTCTTAAGTTGCTCAAGGCAATACATAAATAGTCATTAAATCTCATTCATATTTTGACTGGTAAGTGACTCTACTATAAAATAAAAGCTACACAGCTTTGGTCCTGCATTAAAATGTTGGGTTTTGGGGTGACTAGCTCTTAGCCTGGCACGTTCCAGATTCTTTAGTTTACTTCTGTGTAATAGTTTAGTTCCACTTATTTTTATTCTTTAAATGTATAGGTTTCTCATTCGTTGTTTCTATTATTGTTTTCATTGGGAATTTATGTATAAAGAAACCAGGACCTTTGTTTCATGGTTCCCCATAACCTGGCTTTTACTGAATGCATCCCTGTCGTCTAGGCGAACCTGACTCTCAAGTCTCTCTATTTCATGGAAGTGACAGTTGCATCTGGAGGGTGGGACAAGAGGTCCCACCCTTAAGATGTGTGGGACCATATTTCATAGATGTGGATATGTTTGTTCTAGTTCGTTCTACTATCAAGAAACAATAACATTGATTATGCCTGATTTTTTATGTTCATAGGCATTGATGCAAGATCTAATGGTTTATTAAAGATTGAAAAGTGGAATTAATCTAATTTTACTTTTCCTTTTTCTTCTGGAATATGTCTGTAAGAGCATAAGTTTCCAATTCTCTGCTATTTGGTTACCCTGTAATACATAGTTCATATAGGGAAAATAGAATATGTGTTTAATTCTTTTTCTTTATTTATCACTTTTCCAAATAGTGTCTAAAAGTGGTAACCAAATAGTTTTTTTTTTTTAAGTATCATTTGGAATTCATGGATTTAAATACATTTGATTTATTTTAATAGCTTTTGGACATGCCCTTTGATATTCAAGTTTTCCCATCTTTGACCAGTTAGAGCTTCTGCATGTTGGCTCATGGAGTTCCTTGTGGCTTTTACTTTTTTTTAAACTTTTTTTTTTTTGCCATGAGATGTATGTGCTCTCAAGAGAGACAGAGAGAGGAAAAGTGAGAAATCACCCCTGGGGAGATGGCACACTGCAGTCCCTTCTCCTCTTGGGATTTTGGCCATGCATGGGCATGCACACACATCCTACCCCCACACCTGGTTTTTCAAGCCACTGGATCTGGAACCACAGTCAGCCAGGTGGGATCCCACTGCCTTAACCACCACACCTCCTGTTGGCCCACCTTCCTATTTTCTTATATGACAAAAATGTTCAAGTTCATCTTGTGCATATATTGCCCCAGACCTGGAACCACTGTTCTTCCAGGGACCCTGGTTTCTTCTACTAAGGGCACTTTCTGGTACTCTGTGTGCTCATTGCTTTTAGGTAGTCTCTATTTCTAGAATGTTCAGTGAACAGTTAGAAAATAAGTACATTTTTAAAATATACATCTCATAGATTCATACTGATATTTTCCATTTAAATTTGTATTGGGTCATTGGAAAAGCCACAATGTGTTTTTCTATGAAAAAATGTGTCCTGACTTTTCCGATGACCCAAGAGATACTGGATTTTATTTAACTCTTCTATTTAAAATCTTTATCTCTTTTCTGGCCTGATGAGCATCATGGTTCTCAAGGACATCATGAATGCTAAAATTTTAGGATATCATATAATTATTCAACTGTTTAATCCAACATTATACACAAAACTATATGAGAGTAGGACATTTTTAAAAAAAAAATTGTTTTATTTAACTTTATTTATTTTAATTTGACCAGAGAGGGACAGAGTGAGAGAAAGTGAGAAAGCAAGCTGCCAGGTCCGAGACTTGAACCATGGTTGGCTATGTGGGAGTCCAGTGCCTTTATCCACCATGCCACTTGCCGGCCCCTCTTATTTAATTTTTATTATTTGGGACCTGTTGGGTTTTCTTTTCTTGTCTTTTTATAGTTTTCTATTAAACTCTTTCCTTAAAATTTTATTCATTCATTCATTCATTTTTTTTTTAATTTGACCAGAGAAAGACAGAGACAGAGAGAGAGAGAGAGATAAAGTGAGAAAGTAAGCCCCCAGATCCAGAACTCAAACCGTGTGAGAGTGTCCAGCTCCCTAACCACCACACCACCTGCTGGTCCCAGTTTTCTATTAAATTCTTTTCATTAAAAAAAAAAAAAAA